TACAGTAAAATAAAAATGCATTTAGCATTTACTAAAGTATATTCCCCTGCGTGTCCTAATTCCTCGCCCATAAAATAATAAAACCACCGTTTTCGTAGGACAAAATGCTGGGACTATGGGGTATATGGGTGGGCCTACATAAGCTACTTTTGCCATTAACTGAACTATACATGCAGTCCGCCTTCTGCGGATCAGGTATATTCATGAGATCGAATATATGCCCAATTGCCGACTCCTATTTTGATCGTGATTTTGCATGCCTTGGGTACGTACTGTTCTTCTCTCCATTTACAGCTTCTGCGCTCCAGCCAGACACCCGTGGAGATTGCAGTGGTGCACAGTGTATTCTTTTTCGTCTTTTCGCAGTGCTCAGAACTGCGCGCGGCTATTAAGAAGATATACGAAGTTGTAAGTGCCGTCCAGCGGACTTCTCCCTCCCTCGCTGTCCTGTCTGCCTCTATTTTAAAGTTTTTATGTGAGGGCTTTAACTGTATCGGCAAACCTGCTGTCCATCGACCATTTTACTGTCTTTGTTCACTTCAGTATAATTCAGTATATTTAAGGGTAATGGGCATTGCCTTTGTAGGCCCTATTACTTAAAAGAAGATATGTTACCGATAGCATTGCTGGCAAAAACGGGAGAGACTGGTATTTGCCTAGACTACTAGCCGCTGTGCTGCTGCTTGTGGGGCTCGACAATGAGCAAGATTGGTGAGTTCCATGGGTGATCGGTGAACGTTAATCAACGAGATATTTTGTTACAAAATAGGAAGTACCATATTTCTGTTTGAACTTTCGATTAGTGATAACGACTCACCAGACCCTCACTCTTTTTGGCTGCAAATGTGGGGTTAACATAATGTTGAGGAACATTGCCGTCTTTCTTTTCTGTACTTTATTTAAGCTGTTTTTTCATGAACTGGCCTTTTTCAGGGATCTGCCAGATCCCCACCTTCGAACAGTGCCGACGTGCCGACCGGCAAACGTCATTCACTTCCCTGTCCTAGTTTGATCTCTTCCAGTCGTTGGCAGGATCTGCTCAACTACCTCCACTCCATTATTCCTGAGCAATCAGTACAGTTGCCTGGTATGGATGAACCTGAGGTCAGGCAGCCGCGGATGCCGGTTTACTTTGATCATCTTCTCCTTCGTCTGTTACCCATCCTGGAAATATTCTTCACCTCCTGCCTAGACAATCCACCGCCCCTCCTTCAACTTGCACGTTTTTGCAATATCGTCTCACCTATCATGCTCCTCCATCGTAAGTACTGCCGACTCTGTTACACGTCTAATCGGTGTCGGTTAGGGGCGGACAGAGGTCAGCATTAATTGCATTATACTCTGGTAACAAACAATTACAGGCCCTCGTTTACTTATATTAACTGCCTACTTTCTTCGTATTAGTAAGCATGATTTGTTTCACTACACTTTTCAGATCGCCCGGTTAACCTCTCCTTCGTTCTGCTTCGCGGCCAATTACAACAATGTGGCAGCCCTGCTCCAACCATCACCCCAACCCTTCCAAAAGTCTTCTCCTTTAGGAAGTCAAACCTGATAGAAAAGGTTTGCTGCCAACTGATTATCCGCAGTCTCCTGCACGAACACCAGCAGTTGGCGGTTTGCACCAACCGCGCTTTGCGACGCGACTGCGCGATGCGCTTTGCAGACCTCGGTGTCTCCGGTCTCTTCTCTCCGCCCGCTTGGAATCACCTCCAGTCGGTGTTCGAGTGCGCTTTGGCGAAAGCGGAGGCCGCCACCTCACCAGCAGCAGC